GTGCAGATCTCATGACAGAAAACGTGATCACAGAGTGAAGTCACGGACAGCATATGCACCATACAAACCACAGGCCCTACGCGTATGTAATGAAGCTTTACAAGAATACGTATTTCTGTTCAAATAAAATATGAAACACTTATACTAGATATCAAGTGTGCCTATAACTAATTGGATTTTGCCTAACTTGTCTCATTTTAGCAGGAACTGTCCTCTTTAATATTAATTTTTATCAGGGACACAATCTATCTTCTCAAATTTTTCAGTTAGTTAAATTCTGTCAACTATTATAAAGGAATTATTCTGATGATGAAGGCTAAGAAACAGGATAGATAAACGCAGTCAATTGCATTATCATGTAGGCATCGTTTCCCAGATTTAAGCCTACTCTATTAAGCATTATTGAGTGTTGGGACAGAAAAAAAAAAAGTGGGGGAAGGGCAGGGGACACGGACACATGACAAACTTGATGGCTGCCAGTTAACTATCATTACACCTTACATTTCTCACTAGCAAAAGCAAGCATGGTACAGAACCTATCTTAGGAGATACATAGGCTTCGGAGAACAAAGTTTATACCGAATAAAAATAGTGACAAATGCTAAGTCTACAGAACAAAAGCTTCTAAATATAGCATATGCTGCAAATCCTAAGCAGTTTCAGATTTTTTAATGTCTCTCTGCATAAGTAGTCATTTTAAAAGATGGAAAGCAAGTAATTTTGTCTGGGATGTGCACTCTGAAAATCATACATGAATATGTAGCATATTCAAAGCTTATCTGAATTTGTTGCTTCATTCAGTGTGCCATTTATTAATTTTATTTCCAATACCATACCTGATCATGCAGCAATGACACATCCTAACTCCCATTGTTTAGCATCCTCCAACATACTCACACTGTCCATGTCAGTATCAAGTCACTGAAGAGCAGTTTATTCTAAAAGCCTGCCTGTTCAAAGGAAGTTTATAGCTCAGAGCCTGCACAGGTGAAAGGAACCTGGGGAGATGAACCCAGAGGTAAGAGATGCGAACCCTCACTAACAGTAGCTCACTACAAAGGCATAAGCAGAAAGGTGGGCAACAGTCCGGTAGTTTAGTCAATGGGAGCAAATGCCAAAAGATGCTATGAGTTCTGCCATTATCCTAACTCAGCCTGAGGGAAAATAAATGAGTTTGCAAGTCAGATCCACCATGGTTTCAGTAGCACTTGCATGAATACTGAAGAACTTTTGACCTATAGAGGTTAAACCACTGCATTTTACTTTATTGTTTGTATGAACAAAGAACGCACATGATCCATCTCTGCACATCTCGGCTACACTGGATGTTGTAACAACTCTCTTTTATTTCTGACCTTTATTTTTATCCCCAACTCCCAACAGCACTGCTGCTGACAGAGCAAGAAAAAAGTAATATGCTGCACTTACTACATAAGTCATGAGCAAACCTCCCTAGGCCTAACCTGGCTAGAAGACAAGCAAGCAGCAGAAATTAATACACTATGTTCTCAATGACAGTAGGGTCATAAATAAACTATGCATTAAATGTGGAACATCTAGAATTCACCTAGCTCTCCATCTAACTCTTACTTTAGTGAATACAGTTGGAATTAACCCCTTTAGAATGAAGCCAGGAGACTATAGGTTCACAAATCAGAAGATTATTCCCACTGCTCAACTTCAGGCACTGAAGCTGCTCTGCACTGCCCTGAAAAACTACCTGCTTCTCTCCATTGTTCATTGAAGGAACTTGGGCTTCTAACTATAGGTGCTTTGAGTCACAACATCCCATTCCTGAAGTTCAGTAAAACATTGTGCCACGGAGCACACGAAAGGCACATGCTCTATCTGTAGAGATTAACATATTGGGTTTCTTTAAAGTGATATATGTAAGTGTCAGTTTAGAACTTAATGATTTGATACTTTTCGAGTCTGCATCATTAAAAACATTGCTCCAACAAGCATTGGGTTCCCAAAACCAGTTCCTAATACTAAAATAGTCAAATTGGGTATTGCCTCTGAACACCAACAAAGACAAGGAATAAGGAGATGATGTATCCCATACGTAGTTGTAACAAATTGAACAAGACACGCAAAAAAAGAAATAATCTGCACCATCATTGCCATGCCGAACTCCCCCATCTGCCAATGGCAAGTTTTTACCACCAGCATGGGGTGCTATGACTAACACAGTTAGTTCAAGTGACATTAAAACACAGGATAAATTACCCTTTAAAGACATTAGGTGAAGCTAAAAAGATACCTTCGCTCCCTGCTTCAAGTGCATGATCATTTAACATCCAAATGTAACTGGAATACTTCACCTCAACTTACCTCATCTGAAAAGCTGACAGCAGTTACTGCTTTTGTCAACCTAGTTTCACTATTAAACAGAATGCCTGACAGTCTGATTTCCCTCCATTTATCCCTGACTTTAAAAACCCCTAAGGAAAAGCCAGTTGAGCAGCCTGTAATGAACTATTCAAATTACTTAGGAGTTAATTGTCTCCAAGTTGAGTTACTAGCAGTCTAATGATACAGCTGCATTTTAAGCAGAATGCCATTTCAGCTGCCCTGTGACACCCCCTCGGTTCAGGTACCAGAAGTTTTCCTCACGCTGCTGCTCCAGGCACAGCACTTGCACCAAGCCTCAACCTAGCAGAGCAAGTCCCTTATTTTCTCATCCTTCTCTCAGTTAATCTCCAGATCTAGGAAGAGCTTGACTAAGTTGTTCCATACCAATTAAAGGGAAAAAAAAAAAAAAAACAATTGCTTTGAGGGAAGTAACTGGAATCTGAAACTAGATGCAATTGCAATCTTTCAGTCTCAAGTTTAAAGGTTCACAAACTGTAAAGCAGGCATAGAAATGTTCATGCCATTAAAAAAAACCAAGACAAATCTAGACAGCCAGCTGTAATGTTTTTAAAATGAGTATGCTTAAGCTGAAAATGAGCAAGAGCCAAGTTAGGCATCCAAGAAAACTTTTACTACCAGTGAGGTTTGTGCTGGAGAAAGACCACAGTTTTATATTTTTATTACCAGATTTTCAAGACATCAGAACACTTATGAAATAAGACCTGTCCCCACTGCAGAAGGTAAATTACGTAGCTAAGCTTTCCATGCTGTACTCTGTATTTAGCTATAGCCAGTTTATAATACTTGGAATTCTTCAAATATATCAGAACAGCATTGTGACAAAAGCAGCACTGTCACCAAACTCAGAAGCAGGGTGGAGTGCAATATACAAAATTTGGTTGCACATGACCACACATCTAATCTCATCTCCACACACTCAGAAATTCAGTGTTATTAACTGAAGTCCTCCTTACAGGTGGAGAATGTTAAGTAAGGATTTATCATAGTAGGTTATTTAGATGTTTTTCTCTACTATTGAAGGTTCCCACAGCAGGAGAGAGGGAGGAAGCAGGTTCAAATTAATATTATAATACATGCGAGAGTTAAAACCCATATTCTTCAGAAAAGGGGGGAAACTAGCTGTGTTTTACAGAAGATACACTGCAGGGTGAAGGGACAGGAGCTTTTTGTCAGCCTTGCTAGCCTGTCTCCTACAGCAAGTAGGTGACTTAAAGAACCTGTAAGAATGTGCTTGATAAACCTTGTTCCCCTACTTCTTTCACACTGTTAGCACCATTACTACTCAGCCTTTTAAAAAGATCACATTCTGTCAGAAGTAAAAAACTGACACAAGTTATATGCACTTCCAAGAACCAAGTTTTTAAAAAATAAGAGGTTAAGTTCAAAATTAATTTTTTTTTTTTTTTTATATCAACATTGATGTTCAATGTACTCAGATGTACTGTTGCATTTTTGGTGAGGCACAGGTTGCCCAGAGAGGTTGTGGAGGCCCCATCCCTGGAAGTGTTCAAGGCCAGGTTGGATGGGGCTTTGGGCAACCTGGTCTAGTGGAGGGTGTCCCTGCCCGTAGCAGGGGGGTTGGAACTAGATGATCTTTGAGGTCCCTTCCAACCCAAACCATTCTATCATTCTATGATTTTATCTTTTTTTAAGGCAATGCCAAACTGGAAATATTAGCTTTGTAAAATCATAATTAATTATCAGATTAATAATTCCTAATTAGCCTCTCCAGGCTTTATGCTTAGCATACTTAATTAGTTTGGAAAGTTATACAAAGTTGTTACATGAACACTGAAGTTTTTCAGGACTTCAGCCCTCCAACACTTCACTATAAGCATCCTGTGCTCTGTTGGAAAGGCAGCATCACCCAACAGCAAGTTCTGTGGCAGAATATGCCAGAACTTCAGGGTCTTTGGAGCTTTATTAAAGAAATAATTAGAGAACTAGTCCACAAACAATGAAGGAAAAATCTCATTTCAAATGCTATTCTCAGCAATTGATGAAAGAGATACCAGCGAGTGATTTTTCTACTTCATCTAACCAACCAGCCCATAAGCTTCTGCTACTCCAGGAGCTCAAAACAAATTGTACTTGCACCCCTTAAAACAGCAACAGAAAAATAACAATGTAGAGCATGGGAAAGGACTAGAGCAGAAAACAACAATGCAAAAGAAGGGTCAGGCATGTACTTTGCAAAGCAACTGGAAGTACTTGGAACATCAACTCTCACATCAAGCTACTGATTCCTTCAGCTGAGATTAAGTAAACTTGCTAAAATACCTCATACATCCTTAACATTTTGAAGACTGTAGTTTTGCAAGCCTAAATTACAGCTCGTATTAAATATTAAGCAGTTCAAATAAGTTAAAATATATTGTTCGAATGAATTACTCATGTGACATTCAATCATGTAAGGTGAAGCTACTGAATTTGACTGCAACCAAAATATACAGAAAAAACTAGCTAAGATCTTACACATCAGCATCATATTGCTCTATCATTTAACAACTGCAGTCTTACTACATAAAATGTTATTCCTCCCTTACAGAAATCTACTGTCTTGAATCCTCTCTCCACAACCCAATATTTCTTACTGTTAGTAACGTTAAATAATCTTCACATACCAGTTGTGAACCATCAGCTTCTGCACAGCCAGTAGTGCATTATAACGAACTTGTTGGTCTTCATGATGCATGTGGTTCATTACCAGCTGTTTACCACCAAGTTGTTCAATCACTCTGAAAGAGAGGAGGGGAGCAGCTTTTTTGACATTACTTCAGCTTCTGGGTAGCTATCCTATCCAACCACTTCATGTTCAAGGTATTAAGAGGTTAAGTCACATAGTAATTATTTTATTAAAAGTATTTATTTACTAACATATAATTTGACATGTTAAAAATGCAGATTTCTCATACTACCTACTGAATTTGGTTTTAAATTTTTAATTTTTTTTTTTTTTTAAAGAATTCACATCAGACTCCTCTGTTTGCTACCTACTGCCTGCTTCCATAAATTTTTAAATAAACAACAATCGAGGAAGGAGCCCTTTTCAGAGAGGGTTATTTGCTTTACCCAACTTGCTAAAGAACTCAATACTGGCTTAAGATGGTTGGCAGGGCACAACACTATTGATTATTATTTAGGAGGAGGTAGTGTCCTCCTCTCCATAAACTGATGATAACCAGGTCGCTCAATTTTTTGCAAGAATAAAGCCCCAATCCAGTCCAGCACTGCCTAATCCAGAAAAAATGCTTGTAATCACACCAACACCTATTAAACAAGCCACCTGGTACTCCTCATAGTGCTTTTGGCCATTCAAACTGTACTGGGGCTATTCTTGCACAAGAAACAGAACTGGCTGCTAAGGTACCATTTCCAGAAAAACAGTATGTTTGAGTTGCATCTTTCAGTATAAGGTTCACCACAGTACTCAGCCATAGCTTTTTAATAGCTATACGAAATCCCACACAAAATACTGAAGAAACCTTGTATCACATGTAATGAAAATACCAAGTCTTATTAAAAAAAAAAAAAAAAAAAAAGGAAAGCAGTACACTGCAACCTGAAAAAGTATCACTATCCAGATGACTCTCTACACACAGCATTTTGGTCTGTCATAACAAAGTTTGGAGAGAATTTGCAAGGAATATATAAACTGATTACTCACTGACTTGCATGTTTTTTACATCAGTTCTCTCACAGGTCACTGAGTAATTAAACAACATCCCCTGAAGAGGCTATCATTTGCATTACACTTAACCTGATGCTATCCTGCCATTCTAAGCTTGCATTAGCTATCTGCTTTTATTACTGTTCTTTTCATGGCCGAATTAATGCATTTACTGCTGCACAGTACAATATGTTTTTGTAAACTGCAGAACAGGTATGAAGACATAGCATGAAGATGAAAAAGAGAATTTCTCATTTCATTTTACAACTCAGTCAAAACCACCCTGGAGACCACAGGGAATATTATTTCCTAACAATATTAAAACATTTAAGGATGTTTCATACAGTGGGAATGCACTCAGAAAAATGCAATTGTTTTAAGCTGGAAAATCCTTGCCAGGAATTCAAGAAGTTATTAGTAATGCAACAGATTAAAAAAAAAGTTATGCCTTCCTTAGGCTGCCTCACATTTTTAACCATAAATATAAAACCACTGCACACAAAGACAAGACTATGAAACACAAACAAGGATTTTTTCCTCATTACAGAGCTGACGTAAACACTGAATTTTCAGGAATTGAAATGAGGTAAAAAAAGGCATTAAAGTTCAAAAGCTTCCTTACACTAGGAGCACACTAGAATCAAAATGAAAAGTTAAAATCCTATAATCATAAATGGTAATAGAGTATTTCAGATGGCAGTACATCACTGAAATTATGGCTGAGAATGAAAAGTCAAAGAACAGCATTACCATTTTTACATAACACTGCCTACTGGTACAAATCACCTCTCAGCCATGTGTTTTAAACCGAAAGGTAAGCAGCTGTGAAGAAGGCTCATGGTGAATGCCATTCCTTCAAGTTCAAAACCTGCTCAAAACACTAGTTTTAGTTCTGTTTTCCCTCTGCTGAACTTCTGCTTACTTTACAGCAGTAATAGAACCCAGTGGGCCAGTTACAGTATGTATCTTCTGCAGGGACTGCGACCCATAACAACAGTGGCAATTCAAACACGTTTCTGGATGCTGAAGAGCCAGATTTTAACATGACCCATTTAAAGGGAGAAAGAAGAAACAGAAGATGAAGTGAGAGCAGTTTAGACTGCTACAGCAAAAAGTATTAATATAAAATCCACACTACATATCTAAAAGCAGACCAAGGTGAAAAAGTGAATGCAATTAAGCTGTTTCTGAATCACGAGCTAAGGAAGGGAATGGCTCTAGGTGTCAATCTCTTGCACGTACAAAACTTAAACCCCATGTTTATGGCATTCAGGTGATCAAAAGTGTTGATCTTACATAGCAGTAACCCTTGGGCCACATGGAAGTTGTACTGGAGGCTGATGTTTAGTCTGCATTTATTTTCAGTGACATCAAACACCAATGTTGTACTTTATTTCTGCAGTTATATTCCCAGAAAGTGCATGTTGGTGAGCCTCATTAGAAGCCCACAGTGCTACTGCCTTGAGAATTCGGTCCACAACATGCAGTTTTAAAAGCAAGTTAAAATTATTTAAACTGACAACATTAAAGAACAGCCAAGCAAAAATACAGTATTTAGTTTAACAAACACTTTCTTTCATCAAAGGGAAAGGTTAGCCAGAACTGTAACTCTAGGTCCCTGCTGTGCACAGCAGGTAAACTCAAGTTTTAGGTTCTGCAACCTTCAAAGGCTGAAGGACGATCCAATTAAGAGTTAAGGATAAGCACTTAAAGGAAACAAAAATATTTAAGACATCTGAAATCTCTTATTCTTCTAAACCAACAAATAATGTCCATTTTCAAAGTGAGTCATACAATGAGAGCGTGACATGCCAACCAGGCATGAGAGCAGTAAAACAGCTATATATCAAAACACATCATGGTAAGAAAGAGACTATTACATGGGAAGTGACACACAGTCCTTAGGTAATTTAAGCTTTTAGTCCTAAAATTGCTTAGGTCATACTTAGTAAGTATCCACTGGACTTCAAAGGAAATTCTTTAAAAGACAGACAGACACATTTTAGTTTGTCCATCAGAACAGAAAGCTAAATAAGCCAAGTCCATAAGCAGAAAGCATCTGAAGTATTAGAATTTGATACAAGAATGTGTGTTAGAATAATATCTGGGCACTTGTTATTTGCTAATGACCATTCCTTTTGAAAGTTGATGCACTTCTGAATAGGTTTAACAGCCTAGGAGGTGAGCAGAGTTGGGGTCCCACCAGCAGTACATCTTCTCAACAGGTACTGTTTATTCACTCATCTGACTTCATAGCTTTGGTCCGGCCACTGCATGGCCGTACTGGCCCAAGCATTATGCCACATTTGGGTAGATGTGTGCAAGCTGTTTAAAGATTATGGCAAAAGCCTAAAAAATGGTTTCAGACAAACGGCAGCTCAAAGCAGGAGCAACCACTATTAGTCCTTCAGCTTTGCCACTTGCAGACAGCAGTGTGAGTTGCCATCTTATTGGAGAATACCTTTGCCTCTCCTCCAAATACCAGTCGTCATAAATCTCTTTTGGAAGACACATGAACTACTTAGCAAATCCACAGCACTGCTCAGTACAAGTGGTACACCCTAAACACCTCTGACCTTTCTTAGTGGACCTAGAAAACAGTTAGTTAATAATCAGTTAATTAATAATCTAAAAACATCTTCGGTTCAAGTTGCTTACAAGACTACAAGGGCCGAGAGCCTTTCTAAAGCGAACAAATCTTTCTAGCAAATCTTTCTAACATATATACAGCATTAAGTTTCTGTCTGTTGTTTGTGATTCTACTACAAGATAGCAGTCTGCACAAGAAGTGTTCATGAAATTCCCAACAAGCCTAGAAGACCATTCTTATCTTCCCCATTAAAACCTATGCAGAAACCAGACACAGACCACTACTTTGCTACCAAAATTAAGTCACATGTCCCTTTGGTTTCTGCAGGAATCATGCTCATTAGTCACCCAAAGGGCCCTTCCTGGTTCAGTAGTCTCTCTACCTTAGAGATGCAATTATGCAGCAAACAAACATCTTCGCTCACAGGTTTTTAAAACAAAACAAAGCAAGAAAACATAGCAATGTCTGTCTATATATTTTTATAGGAATTCAGGTTTAAAATAAACATTAACACTTTCAAGAAAACGTGTACCTGTGTAGCTAAAAGAAAACATGCTAAAATAGAAGAGCGATAACTAAATCTGTGCTAACATCACTGAAATTACAATAGCAATTGTTTGTGAGAAAAAACTTGTCTCTACAGTCTTAAGTCACAAAATAGACTTAAGCATTGTTGAAATAGTCCATCCCTACTGTAAGTCCAATAATTACAATCCCAAAGTTGTAACAGAGGATAAAAATGATATGTTGATTAAATTCTTGGTAGCTCTTCTAATTTCTTCTGCCACATGTCTTCTGCTTTAGTCCAAACAATGTACTGAAGATTTCTTTAGACATAGATTCCCTTCACTGTTAAGGGGCACTGCAATACATTAAGTCAAAGATCTAGTTTGTATTTTCTCACCTTCCCAGTGAATTAAACTTAAGCATAACCTGCAATCCCTATGTGTATATTTTTATATAAACAAGAAAAAAAGCCACAGGCAAAGCACATACTCTAGCTAGTCTCTTGAGTAACAGCATATTAGCATTTTTCTTACCGTTTCCCACGGGGATAGTGTCGTACGTATTCTCCCACATCATGAGCAGCTACAGCCAGCACTTGTGGGTCATCAGAAACCTCCAGAAGTTTTGTCAGGATTCTAGGAAAGGATTTGAAACAATCAAGTCCCAGGTTTTGGTTTGGGGTTTTTTGTTTTGGTTTGGGTTTTCTTCACTGTTGTTTTTTTTAAATCACTAATAACTTAAAATACCAACGCCTGTAACAATAAAAATGCATTAGAAGTCACCCTGTCATGGTTCAGCCCCAGCCAGCAGCTGGGCACCAGGCAGCCGCTTGCTCACCCCTCCCCAGCAGGATGGGGAGGAGAATGGGCAAAGGTTGCCTTGGGTTGGGATAAGGACAGTTCACTGAGACAGCAAAGGGAGGGGGAAATAACAGCAGCAGTACTGATAACGGAATATACACAATGAGTGATAGATAACACAAGGCAACTTACCAACCCGACAACCAACTGCATGCTCAGCCCACCCTCAGACCATCCCAGAGCTGCATCAAGCCACCCATCCCCAACTAGCCCCCTTTTATGGGAGCATGACGTCACATGGTATGGAACAGCCCCCTGGCCAGCTTGGCTCACCTGTCCTGGCTCCTTGTGAAAATTAACTCTATCCTAGCCAAAACCAGGACACACCCAAACAGCAAAGCTAGAATAGAATTTTCCCAACATGCAGTTGCGTTTAAAACAATGGAGATCTTGCCCTAATTAACAGAATTATTAAAAGCCTTCACTAGAGGGAGTTCAATGAGCCACACCTACAAATACCTATAACCAAGGTTTACAAATGTCTCCATTTTTATACATTGGCTTCAAGACCAACAGTTTTGAGTTCAAGATAAGCTGTATTAACCAAACATATAAATATTTCTAAACTGAGATGGGGTGGGACACAAGCACAATGCCTACACAAGGCCAACAGATGATGCTGCTTCTGTTATACAAGAGCCCCCAGTCATGCTTGCACACTGTTCCCAGCTCCTGCACTCAGGATCCTGCACTATGGATCTATCAGCCTTTCCCCAACTCTATTCCTCCCCTCATCTTACAACAGTAGCCTTGCTCAATGCAGCATAGGACAAAAGGGACAGAAATTTACGCAGAACACTGTTATATAGAGTCATTTAAAAATTACAAAGCATCCTAGCAGTTGAGAACAAAGCAGCACACCGAGTTCTTTGGTCTGTGCAACTTTGAACTTTTCTCGGTTCAAGACCGTCAACTTTATCTCAGAAACATCACTTGTTCAGTCAACTGTTGTAGTCTAAAAAGCAGTTCTGTTCTGACTCAAAGACAGAGATGATGAAAACTATACCTTGTAATTGACTCCAATCTCATATATTAGTTATTTTGTTAGCATGAACAATACACATATTGTTCAATACACAGTTGAAAGAATTAGAAAACAGTTTCTCAGCTCTTAATATTGTCTGCATTTTTGAATTAAGTAATTTAATCAGTTTTAGTGGAAAACGGCTACCAGTAACACTGTTTTTCCCCCCTCCTTATTACTGACTGGAAAAGTGACACAGATATGAAGGCTGGCACTAACAGTAAGTTAAAAGGTAAAACATACAGATCACTGGAAAATTAGATTCATCTACAGTTAGTGAGATGACAAATGTGTTCTAAGCACAGAAAAGTTAGTAACAAGCTGAAATAGTTAGGTTAAAAATTCAATTGGAATTGAAAAAAGAACATTCTGGTAAAATTAACTTAGCACAGCCACTGCCTTCCTAGAGGCCAAAAAGTGAAAGATGAAGCACTTTTCATTTTAAAGAACTCCTAATCTGGACAGGAAGTAGAAGCAGAAACTTGAACCATAACACTAGTCAGAAGAGACTGAAGATCCATACAATTATGTTGAACAAAATACAAGTCCAGTATCACTTCCTCAAGTCATCAATACTGGCGGAAAGCAGGAAAAAAAGTAAGTTTAACACAGCAAACTTAACTATGTTAGAGTTAGAAAACAAGTAAGCTGGCAGACAGGGGCAAATAAAATTATGTGGCTTGAAGCAAGAAAGGATTGTCTGTCAGATGCCTTACAACACAAAAGAGAAGTTCTGAGGTGCAAGAATCTTTCCACCACACTGGAGGAGGAGAAGCTGGTTTTGTGTGGAGGGTTTTTTTGTTTGGTTTTGGGGTGAGGCTTTTTGTTTGGTTGGTTTTGGGGGGGTTTTGTTGTTGGTTTTTTAAAGGAACCATTGTAGATCACTGTCTTTGTGGCAGCACAAGCACAATAAATTTACTGAGCAGTCCCAGAACCAGAAGAGATGAATACAGCAAAAAAACATTGCAATTGCTACAGGAAATAGTAACCCTCAACATCAACGGCAGTTGGTAGCATCTAAAATTTTTAAGTCTATAATCCTACATACTCAGCAATATGCCCTCAGGGAGGAATTTATCAGACTTGTTTTGGTGAGGTTCAGGGCAGACTGAAATGCACATAAAGCTCAGGATCAGCTTGCTCTTAACATGCTTTCTAACATCTCACATGCTCCATTCAACCTCCTGACTTCTGTTAGGTCTGGCACTTATTAGCAAATACTGAGCAGGAAGAACACCACGTATTATCAGTTTATGACAGTGCAGTTAAACAACTAAGAGCTCCTACCAGCTACTTAAGGCCTAAACATCTTTTGAGTACCTACTTTCAGAAACGAGCAAGTCCTTGACCCCAAAAGGAAAGATGAGCTCCAGCTTCACTTCACCTAACAATCTATATACACCAAAACACAGTCCCAAGACAAAATAGACAGACTGCAACATGATGCAGCAAGTCAGATCTTCCATGGAACAGTACCACTACAGTCAACCCTCAAGTAGTAATCAACTCCTTTCTTGACTCAGATCAACAACGCACAACACAAAACTAAGACTAAGGTATGGTAAAACCATTTTAATTGCATCAATTAGTATAGCTGTTTTTCAAGCGAAAGCATTAAAAGAGTCAATGGCACAAATTTGCATGCAAGTTAAGCTAGAGATATTCCATCTATCTTCATCATCAATACATTTTGACCAGTAAAGCAAATAATTTTGCTTTTGAACAAAACAGACAATACATGGGTAAGGACCATACATTCTAAAAATAGCAAAATGTTCTGACTTGCTTTCATTCTAGACATTACTTCGTGTTGAAATGTAAAACCTGTATTAGATATAGGTTCAGTTAAACACAGAAAATATTAAAGAATTATGTGATTCAAGACTTGAAAACTTACTTGAGTAGTTCATAATTCTTCTCATTTAGTCTTACAGCATTCTCCCGCCAAAACTTCTCGGACTTGTGTACAGGACTCCACTCCAGTCTTCCTGACTTGAGCTCAGAACTGTACTCATCGAACGAGCTACAACGCAAAAGACCTAAATGAAATACTGGCTAAGTTTCTATGCACACAGTTTGAACCACGTGCCCAGGGGCCTGTCCCTAGGAAGACAAAGCTGGAGCACAACTTGCTATGATACATTTGGAAGTCAGTTCTCTGCAGAGCATGAGAGCTCTTCCCTGTCTCAGAGTTCAACACTTTAAAAATAAGGAAAGGCACAATAAGGCAAGAGAAAAAATTGTTTTAAAACATACCCCTCCATCCACCCCAAAACACAATTCCTGAAGGAAGAAAAAAAGAAAAAATAAGGAAAAACCCAAGCCACACAACCACAGCACTTGGGAATTTAGTTGGCTATTTTGCCCGTTTTCTAGGTTTTAACTTCCCCAACCAAGAATCCCAGTCCTTGCCTTTCATCCAATTAAACCTTTGACATGAACTACAATATGCAGTTCAATTTATGCACAACAGCAAGAATTAGGTAAACGCTAGCAAAAACTTGAGTTAATCTGGACAGCAAGATGTTAATTCTAATCAAGTAGTCTTCACCTTAGATTAGAACTCCTATAAGATTCCTCTGAAATCCTTTAACTAAGTTACGAAGATCACATATCGAAAAGTGAAGATTTATTTTCTCTTCAGCCTGTAAATACTCACTTAGAATAGGAAACTTTTACGTACAACCAGCACTTCTGTACACTCATCAACTAGCATTTGTGTGTCATAATTCTGTGTCTTATTTAGCCTTAAAAAAGTTTTACAAATGTTTATATAATTGCATTTTTTTAATTGCACACTGTAAAGCATACCTAAGGTCTTGCACGCTTTCACCAAGCTTGTCCAGTAGAAATTTGATATCTTCACTTATGTCTTCATCATCATATTTCTGCTGATCCAAATTCTCTAGCTGCTTTAAAACTTTACACTGAATCATGGCAAGAGCATATTCTTGGCGAGTCTCTCTCTCGGTTGATTTCTCTAACAAATTCTAGGGAAGTAAAAATTGATTTATTTTGTTTGGTTGAAGAACAGACTACTTTGAAACAAAGTGATATTTTTAAGAAATTCTTATTGGCCCTTTTTAATTTAGTAAGTGACAGAATTGACCACTTCCCGAAATAATCTTTCCAAAGTAGTAACGTATGAGTCTACCACATGGTGGCTGCTTTGCACCTATATTTAGTAGCATAAATTGCCTAGGACTGACTTTACTACACAGGAGAGTATTTGTATCTGTCACTACAGCAGATGAAGAGGAACTTTAAAAAAAGGCCCTGTCTTGCAAGGTATAAGTAACATAACCATATGCAACCATACATGCTTCAGTATTAGAAAGTCATTTACCTGCTTTGATCATTTCCCACGTCATCAAATCAGGCTGACTACAAAAACTATTCAAAGAAGGGCAGGCTTATATCCCAAATGCTAAAGTCTCTGCCATAAACAACTACTTTTATCTGGGATTATCATTTTAGCTTTCTGTGCAGCAATGGCATAAAGCAATAAAGTTGTAAAAAAAAAACCCAACCAAAAACCCTGAAGTCATCTTTCCAACTTAAGAGACAATCAGCTTTTTCTGAATTTGGGAATATTCCAACTAGACATTTTTATTCAAGCAGAAGCTTGTTGGCAAGACTGGAATTACAAGCACAGAGTGTAATAGTCAAGTTCTAAAGTCATTTATTAATTAAGTTTCTACTCAATTTAAGCAGCTTCTAGCCACCTGCACTTTTTGATAAAGCTCTGAAAACATTAATTCCATATAAAAGACAAAGTCCTTAACAAACACAACATGTGTTCATATAAATAAGCCTTAACATCTACCAGAAATAAGCAATGAAACCATATACAAAGAATTTGACTGCACCACTCTCATTCATGTCATAGGACAATTACTCTTCAGGTTTCTAAGATATGAGACATCATATTAGTTAGTAAGGCAGAACGCTGCAAATAAATGTTAAAACTTGCATACTGAAAATAAGTCATGTTACTGCTTTTAACGGCCACATACAATTAGCTTTAATGTGTTAAAAAACCCTGTTTCTATTTCAGTAACAGCACTGGGAAGTAAAAGCTAATTTACAGAAAATAATGCTAAATTACTTAAGAATTTAAAGTGCTAAAGAAAGCAAAAGAACAAATAATGAATCTTAAAAGACAAAAGTCAACAAGTTCAAGGAGCAATGTAGATAAAGTTTCCAAAGAACTCCTAGTTCCAAGAATTATAGGCAGATGTGGAAGCTATTCCAAATATTATCACCTATCTCATACCATAAGGAGATATTCAAGCTCTTTACAGTGAAATTGAAAGGATATGTTAGAAAAGTACAAACAGGAACACATGACTAAATAGAATAGATCAGTAAACTACTCAGTGATAAATCTTAAGGCACAAAATGAGTTACAGGTGGGAAACAGACATAAAAGACAATAAAATTATGAAAAATGAGGAAAAACATTTTAATAGGTAAAGAGAGAAAGTAACTGATTCAAAGTAGACTGAAGTAGTCAATACCTGTTGCTTTATAGAAAAAAAAAATACATTACAGTTACATACATCAGGCAATTAACTTGCCAAAGAGGTGAAACAGGTCAAAATAGGCAAAACTGCGTAGTAGAGAAGACGTATGCAAGTTGTCAAGACTCACGGCATACCTTCAGTAATGCACAGACAGTAGGGATGATTTGGGGCATCATCAAGCCTAGTGCTTCATGCAATTTGTCTATATATATTCCCCCCCCGCCCCCCGTAAACTGATACTGTGGCCTCTCACATAGGAAAAGGGCTATTTTGCCTCTGCTACCTATTTCAATTTTGCTTCAGAACTCACAGCTCGGATGTCTAATTTCTAATCTATTATTTCCTGGCTGCCAGTTTATAACCTCATTTTCATGCCAACACTAGTCTTTAATGTTGGAGAAAGAAACAGCTAAGTTAATTTCCCCAAAGTCTGTAACAGAACCATCTTACTCTTTCTTAGCCTTTATTTATTAGAAGAACTTGGCTTCATTTTTGTCTCCTCTTGCAAAACACACTAAATCTAAGAACTCACAATTCTTTCTCCTACTTTTTATGACCTTAGAATTGGAAGAAAATGAATATAAACTGCTGAGCCCCCCAACTTTTTTTTTTTTTCCCCAAGCTGTCTTGCTGTCCCTGCTTAATCCTAATAATAGGATCCTAAGGAATACTAGAACACCTACAGAGGTCTACATAGTAAGAATAGCCCCTATTAAATACCTCACGCCACTGACCTCCT